GTACCCACGTTAACATTTTGTACATTATCTATAAACTGACGAGGCAGAAAGTGAACAAGGTTTTGTTCTATGGTTACAAGCATACGGCTTGACTTTTTTGTGATTATTTCCCGAGTAAAAGCAGTGAATAATTGTGAAATATTACATGAAGTCAATAAAACATTTCATAATTAGTATTTTATATTAGTGCAAAGACAATTTTATTAATGTACAGACATTTCCACATCTATGCGATAGAACTAAAATATGATATATCAAGAAGTAAAACCGCTTTGATAATCATCTTACGTCTTCTCTTCGTTTATTCCATACTTAATGACAAGAAAAGCTTATTATTTATTTTAGTGGGTAAATATGTGCACTAAAACATCGATAAAATAAACAAGTCAATATTTTCCAAAGATATCAACAAACAATAAAGGGTTACGATTCATCTTCAAAATAACTCGATTATAAAAATAATTGCTCTTCGGGAAATGTCTCCCCAAGTAGCGCTGCCAGCGCCTGTCCTCCGGGCCGCGCGGCTGGCAACCCCCTCCACCTCCACCTTCGCCCAATCATCGGAGGACGAACGCCCCGCCCCTAATTACCCAAACGGAACTTTTAACGAAGCCCCCGATGCTGCAAGGAGCCTCTGCGGGAAATTGCAGGGGCGAGGAGAGGTCTAAATATTTTCTTAAGTGTGAAAAGGGTTAAGTGGTGATGAGCGAGATGTTCTTTCCCAGTTGCAGATGCAGACAAGTAATTACGTACTTCATTATTCATACTAGGAACCTTCGAACTCAAATTTTTAAAGAGTAATCATCAATAATAAATTATATAAAGATCAATATTCAGCATTAATATTCTCATTAGAGTCCGGAAGTTCAGGCATTTACTTTATCAAAAATAGGCAGGCAAAATGGAAAATATGTTTATTAAATAGGCATTAAAAGGCCTTTATTCAAGCTAAAGTAGGGATGAAAAGGGTTAAAAAAATTAAAGCACATTTAAAAGGAATTCTCGTAAAACATTATTAATGAAAAATATTCAAATTTGTATTATAATTCTAAAATAAATGTTCACGAAAACAATGTTTTTTTTGTAATCTTAATTCTCCGTTTAATTCGGTACTATTTTGTATAACGATTATAGAAGAAATTATATTTTGAAATATGTGGTCAAGAAACACGGTCGTACCCATTCGAATCGCGTTCATTTCCCTTCCAAACAGTTTTTTTTATAATGGAACACGACCGAGTTCATTTTGAACAAGTTTCCTCTGCCCTTCTCGGTACTAAATGTGAGCGACATTTTTCATCTCCACAGCCCGAAGCGACGAGAGAATTTAAGAGCAATTGATTGCCGGACGCAGCGAAGCAGGGCCGCCATAAAGGGTGATGAATCTCGTGTGTTTGAAGGCCCATCACCCGCTACGCGAGATGGCACTTGCTGCCATCCCTGCCCTGGCTCTCCGATCGCAACTAACCGTCCTCGTCGCAGGGAAAGAGGCACGCGGAGAGTGCGTGACTGAGAGAAGCAGCAATACAGAGTTTCGAGAAAGAGCGAGGAAACAGGAACAGCAGGAGAAAAAACGAGGGAGAAAGAGAGAGAGGAGAGAGAGAGAAGAGAGAGGAGAGAGAAGAGAGAAAGAGAGAGAGAGAGAAAGAGAGAGAGAGAGAGAGAGAGAGAAGAGAAAATTCCAATAGTGAGGACGAAAGAGGTGGTTGGAATAACTAATATTTCATTTCTCTTCATTGACTTGGGATGAAACATATGAAACTAAAATATAATTTCTTCACTGGTGCAATATATTGTATAAAGCAAGTTAATTTTTCTTGAAAATTTATGACTTTCATTATTATGTGACGTGAAATTTCTATCGCACAGTATGAGACCGTTAAAAGAGAAAATTAAACAAAAATAAAAGAGTTGCAAAATCTCTGTGAAGGAATTTCTCAGCTTATATTACAAACTTTATTATATATTACTAAAAATATTTATTGAACAATGCATGTATATACCTATTGGATATGACCGTTATTAAAAATAAATAAAACTCATTTTCATCACAAGATTATTATAGATAAATTAACTACGTTATCAATTATCTTTTAATTACGTAAGTTAAAACATAGTTTCATTAAATAGTAATCCATTATATTGTTACCCAATGTTTAGTCTCAATCAACAGCAATAAATATAAAAGCATAATTGTATTGAAATATGTAAATCATTTAATTATCAGTGAAATTAAAGTATAATAAAGCGCTAAAAACACTTTATTCTCCGAACAACGTGGTATTGCATCATATGACGAAATAGTTAAATCATGTTTCGGGAGTAATTCTGCAAAATTAATTTAGTGAATTGCTTGCTGTTATCCCTTACTGCTCTAACTACCACTTACTATCCTTTCCATTAATTGGCCAGCTCCGCCAGAGCAGTGCATAATGGTTCATTATAACTCCAGACAACGAGACCTCGGATGGTGGGATATTCTGGAGAATCAGTTTACAGGACGAAATACAATGTAATTTAATTACGAACTCAGTGGTGCCAAACTTGTTACAAGTGATTGGTTCATCAAGCACCAAAGTTTTCAAGTATAAATTACGTGTAGGTGTATATCCGGCATCCCTACTAGAGATTTTAGCCGGTACATTGCATGAAAACTAAAGCAGAATTGATTAAGTGAGATGTCTTTTTTAAATATAAATCAATTTCAAAAAGGAAAGTAGTTATTCTTAGTCAATTTCAAATGAAATAAAAAACGGATTCGCGTAGAATCGCATACCATCACAGTTGAATAGAATAAAAAACAGAAGACTCAGTTTAATCCCATTACCCTATGAACCCTAGGAACCGTCAATTAATTTAACGGAAAGTTTCCATAAAAGTAGCACAAATAGAAAATAAATAGTGTTCAATTTATTTTACGTAAAATGTTTAAATTCAGTTCAATTAATAACTATAAACACAACTAAATAATTAATTGATTTTTTTCCTTTTCGAAATTGGAGCAACTCGTATCTCAGATACTGATGTTGCCAACTGAAAAATAATTGTATATTTTGATGTCTATGGAAGGTTGGAATTGAGTAGGTCAATATTGATAGAATATAATTCATAATGAGTAATAAATACGTAGGTTAATAAAAAAAGTGTATTGCGATATTCGAAAAAGGGTTTCTAATAAGAAATATTTGGAAAAATATGTTAAAATAATTTCTGAAAATTGAAACAAAAAGTATACGGAGATCAGTTTCGCAACATTTCTTTGCGCATACAATATTCAGTAAGAATGTGGATCGAGTTTAATGAAGTTAATAACAAACGAAAATTAAAATCATATACCAAATTCAAGCTCCTGCATCAAGAATATTGACGCGTGTTGTTGGTACAAGAAGAAGACTCTTGGGTTGTCTCTTGGCACAAGAGAAGACTCAAAATTCAAACCAGAAGAACTAAAAGACCCATTTTTTCTCTAAACTATGTCGATAACACGGATCTTTTCTGTCTCAATTCTAGTAAACCGTCATTGTAGGGTCATCTTTTTTTTATTTCTTCTGCCCATTATCAAATTTATATCTAGTTTATTTTAAGCTAGCGAAACCCGGAAGACATTGGAGATCTTCATCTTCCTTTCTCTCTCTCTCTCTCTCTCTCTCTCTCTCTCTCTCTCTCTCTCTCTCTCTCTCTCTCTCTGTCACCCCCCTCCCTCCCAGAAAAAAAGTAATAGACTGTTCAAAAAGATCTCATGCTGTAGATTACGGTGTGAGAAACGTTTCTGTGAAAGCTTTGGCCTCCATATTTTAGTTTTTAATGCCCTTGATTTAAGAGTTATTTATCAATATAGATTCTTAAAAAAATGCAAAGTGAGTTGTAGGTGGC